ATTTCTCCATGAGTAGGTCCCCTTTTTTATAAGTTGGCATACTCTGCCGTGCATCGTCGAGAAAGAATGTCATCACATTAGTAACATAATTTAGCCCCTGTTTGGTTTAGCTTGAAAATTGATAAAAATCTAAATCAAATTCTACAATTAATTCTAACCATACATTTCATGGAATCCACAACTTTTCAACTACACATTTTATCAATTTTTATCAAAATCTCCTACAAATCTTATTTTTAGCTTCACCAAACAGTGGCTAAGTTGTATAATCCTTGGTCGATAAGTCAAGGAACTTCATTGATGAAGTACTGAAATATTTAATTTTTCCTATGGAATGGTAATCTAAACTCATATGTTACGTATTTCTGTTGGTAAGAGTAGTGGTTACAGAAGACTAGAGCTTCAGGAAATCTGCAATTAAATCTCTGTGTATATTTTTGTAGTGTGACCATCACGTTTCACTTAATCCTTCCATTTTCCCACTGTATATACTGGTTTTGTTAGTAAAAGTTTTCCTTTTTGTTAACTGTAAATCAGCTGTAGCTCTTGTTTTTATATATATAAAAAATAAAATATTAGTCACTAAATTTATAAATTCAATTTTTTAATCTGAAATCTTTAATTTTTCTTCTTTCTTCTTTCTCTTTTTTCCTTCTGATGTAGACACATTATGTTCTATTGCTCTCTTCCTTTAAAGAACAACTCCAGCAGCATGTGCGGGTTCATGCAATGGAAGCAGTCATGGCTTGTTGGGAGCTCGAGCAATCATTGCAAAGTTTAACAGGTGATTATCATTTTTCATTCTTATTTTTTTTTATTTCATATTGTAAATATGACTCCATTGAGTTTCTCGGATGAGGGTTGCATATTTTGCAACTTTTTCAAACTTCCCATCTAGAATTTGCACTTGTAGGTTTTTAACTTTTGGAGGCCATCCTAATTACTTGAGACTGTTTGTCTATCAACTGCACTTTTACTTCCTGTGATCCTGGCTGTTGTAACTTCAAAGTAAAATCATTTCTAGAATTCACATTGATTATCATCCCTAGAAATCCATGTTATCTGTGTGCCATCTTTCTGTGCATATTTGAAATTAATATTAATTTTTACTCTGCTTGGTGATCTTGAAGTTAATGAATAATTTCTTCCCTTTTTGCTTGGGGATTAATGTTCGCTTGAGTAGGTGATTTCACGTTTGAAAGCATACTCGATTTTGTAACGAGATTCTGATCGAAGTGTTTTGCCTATTTCTCTTTTTGTTTTTAACATATCCAGTTTATTGAATATTCTTAACATTGTATTTATGTTATGATTTTATGGCTTAATTAGTTTTCCAGTTCGAGGAACAGGCAGTCATAAAATCATGCACCACAGACAGCAATTGATACTGATTTATTTTCAA